AGCAGTGGGAGTTACTGTAATAAATCTGTGCTGGAATGGTCAAGAAAGGCTTTTTTTGTCGCATTGAAGATGATAAAATGTATTCTTTGTGGAAAGACCCGTATACACAAAGACTAGAATTCAGGAATCTCCCAAGAGTTGCGTTTAAGAATTAGGGAGGAAAATGCACCTATCTAGAAGAACTGGAGAGCAGAAGAAGGTAAAGATGTAAAGGTAGAAGAGACACACCTTGAATGGTGGTGGTTAAACGCTGGCTGCAAGTCAGAAACATCTTGGGGGCAGGGTGGGAAGGAAAATACACCAATGCCTAGGACCTAACCCCAGTTAACTTAGAATCTCAAGGTGGGATCCAGGCTTTGATTTCCCCTCCCCCCAAGTCCCAGGTGGGTTGGATTTGCAGCCAGGCTTAAGAACTTCCCATTTACAGTGCTGGAAAAATCACTGAGGATTTTGGACAAGGAGATGAGATGAATGAGATGAAATTGGAATTTTAGATAAATCAGTCTGGTAGTGTTATGTGGCAGAATATGGAAAGGGTTGACACTGGAAGTTAGCAGATGTGTCAGACCCCTGGACTAAAATATGATGTCATTTAGGGCAAAAGATGAATACACAAGGTATCTTGAAATATTGATAAGACTTGCAACATTGGGTGTGTAGGTGGAGAGGGAGGAATCAAAGATCATTAAAGAAGTGGCCCTACGTCAGGCCAGTTCAGTTACTCTTTGAGTGGGGACTGGGCATGTGTATGTCTTAAAGCTTCCCAAATGATTTGAGAATCAATTGCTCTAAGAAGTATCTAGTCTGGGTAATAGAATGATCCAAATAAAATTGAAAGATTTGACAAATGTAACATTTGATATTTGAAGTTACTGTGTAAAGTCATGGAATGTTAGGTATACCCAAGAGCCACAGATCAGCTGTTACTGAGTTTTCATTTTGCATAGGAGAAACTGAAACTCAGGGAGATTAAATAATTTGTTTGTGACATTTTACTGGTAAGTATCAGTGTGATTAATATTGAGCTCTCCTACTCTTTTCACCAGGTCTGACCTCTTACCTTATAGTCATCATTTCTGATCTTAAAATATACTGTCCACCTCTCAGCATATCTAAAACCAAATCCACCTTTACTTTTCCCCATATAAGTCATTTTAGTTAACAGCACCATTTTAGCTAACATTTGAGGCACTGCAAAATAATAATTTTTTACAGCTAATACAAAGCACAATTCTGTGATTTTATTTATACATATATTACACTTCTCTTCCGTTCTCATCTTAATTGTTTCTGTTCTATAGACATTCCTCATCTGTTTATGGCAACAGCTCTAATGAGATGTCTGTTTCCTTCACTAAGTGATCCTTCATAGGATTTCATACCCTTTCATCAAGAACTAAGGCTCTCTGTTTCCTGTTATGTCAAGTTGAAACACTTCATAATCTGGCTCTACTGCATCTGTTACACCATATATCTCATTTCACTTTAACCCAGCCCTCTGTTCTATCCAGGCTAGCCTATTGATTCCTCTGAAACAACAAGCTACACTTGCTGTGACAGTCTCATGCAATAAAGCTCCCTTGATGTCAGGCATAGAAAATCCTATACATGGTCTCTGCTCTCAAGGGACTTAGGATTTAGTTGTATACTCTGGCTTGGTTTATGTGATATTTTATGCCTAGAATACTCAGCTGCTTTCTTTTTCTCAAAAATCTGCCCATTTCTCCAAATTAAGCTGAAATAGTCTACCTCTTAACTAAAAGCCTTCTCTGACCATGTTGCTTTGATGCACAGACGGTGATGCATAAACAATAAATAGTATTTCTAGAATAGTATGTGATGTAGTAGATACCCAGATATTAGTTGAGCAAATTAATTTTGGACATTTTGTCCTATACTCTAGTTTTCCCTCCATGTATAAATAACTCTTCTCAACAAGGGTGTAAACTCCCTGATGGCAGGAAATTCTTCTATGTTTTCCACAGTACCTAACACAGTGCTAGGTAGTTACAAAACACTTATACTAAATAGAATATTATGTTATGTAACTTCGAATTTATTTGTGGGGGGGGGTGTCAATAAGGACTGAATAATTTCGGGTTTTGAGTGTACAGTACCAAAGGAGGTATCCATTAGCACTTGGGAGATTGCTTAAATGACATTGAGTGTGTGTGCTTCCAAGTTTTCTGCCTTGCTTGATTCTAAGTTAATGAAATGAGTTTGTCCCTCTAGCTACCCTCTGTCCCTGATTCTTTTATGTAAGTTATACTTAATGTCTTCATTCTTATCTCTAGTATGAAGTGTAACAGAACAGACTTTACCACCTGAAACTGCTGCTTCAAGTTCAGATCAGGCAAGGAACAAACCTCGAAACAACCAACAAGACCAAAGAAGAGTACACTTAAGTTGAAGACACAACACTTGATCTGAAACAAGAAGTTTGTGCCTACTCAACAGCTTTGAAAGAGCACTTCCCAACGCTGCTAGTAGTCTTTGTTTTCTTCAGTGCTGTACTGTAAGATTGCCTGGTGCAGCAGCAGTTGTATTCTTTATTAGCTTGATAGGTCATTTTCTCTTGCACGCGCGCTCTCTTTTCTTTTTTTTTTTTTTTAACACTAGCAACTTTCATCCTTTGAAACGTGTGCTGAAAAAGAAGAATCAGCAAATACTACTGAAAGTGCAATATTTGATTATCACTGCGAGGTAGGTTTATCGTTTCCTATTGGCAAGAATCAGTTTATAATTCTAGATTTCCTAATTATTTGGTTAAATTTAAAATCTTAATCTGTTTGCTTCTAAAGGTATTCTGAAAACAGTTTATATTATCAACTATTAGTCTGAAAATATCAACACTAGATTATTTTAACTTGTTGTCTTTTGTTAGATGACAATATTTATGCCCAAAACTGGGATTTTCCACCCCAGATTATATTTATTAATACATGCAGGTCTCTTGATTTATTGGTCTCTTAGAAAGAAAAACTCCCTCTGTACTATTAAGAAGTTAGGGTTTCAGTTAGGAGTGCCCTTTGTAGTCTTTGAGGTAACCTTGGGTAAAGAAAGCCTACAGAGAAGGGACATTTGAAGGTGAGTTGTACTTTGTTAAGAGGGAGAAGAGTTTTTGGTAGAGGTATAGAGGTAACGGAATGAGCATATTTGGGGAGATCTGAAAGCACGTGGTATATGTTGAGTAGTCTGTTATGAACGGAGTAGAGAATACAGTTTTGTGGGTCAGAGAGAATAACTGGAAAGGGAGGCTTGCTGGAGGCAGGTTCTACAGGGCCCACTCTACTTGCCTTTATTTTTCAGGAAAGTTGTCAGCTGTTTATAAGCAAGGGCTTAATGGATTTTGTATTTCAAACCTGAGATAGTTTATTGCTTCAGATTTTAAAGTTACATATTCATAAATGTATCTTTGAAAGACAAATGGTGCTACTTTTAAGGAATAGGCTGAGGATGGGAAGACCTGTTAGGAGCAATGGACAGAGTGGAAGGAAGATAAAAGCTAGGGTAAAGGCAGAGAAAGAGGTAGATACTAGGTGTTTTAATGGTAGAAGTAATAGGACTGGTGACTAGTTGAATGGGAAGTTGAGGCTGGAGGGAATTGATTTAGTCTATCCAGTTGTCCAAGTTAGAAATCGTTGTTCATAGGAATGGGGAAGTTCAGGTAGGAATTTGTGGAAATCTGTTTTATTAGTAATCTGAAGTTGAGAAAATATTCTAGTATGGAATGTTAAACAGTGGTTGTTTGGGGGAGGTAAGATTGTGAAGGGCAATTGTTCCTTTTTAATCTTTAGTTTCTAGAGTTTCTAAAATCAGCAGAAATAAAGACTTGGAATTCAGAAAGGAGTCGTCACTTTATAGGTAATAAAGGAAGAAGTGCCAAAGAAGAGAATGTTGAAAGAAATAGGTAGTCCGGGTAGGAATGCCAAGGAAGAGAATTTCAAGAACTGGGTGGTAATCCTTTTGTAAAACGCTTCATTGATCAAATGAGGAGAATGAAAACAGACCACTCCTAGGTTGTTGTCTTATAAAAGCTTCATCACCATTTCAACAAGTAGTGGGCCTTTATCTCCAGTTTATTTAAAGGTTAAGGACCTGGCTGTGGTAATGACCTTACTGTGGACCAGAATTATTCCTTAATTTAAAACTACCATTAACACCAATTTATTTAAATTATCCATAAACAGACATATAATTACTCAGTATTAAGGATTTTTTTTGTTTTGTTTTTTAAGCATTGACTAATTTAATCCTCACATCCACAGTGGCATTGGTACTTTTGTTTTTAATTAATTTATTTATTTTTGCTGTATTGGGTCCTCGTTTCTGTGCGAGGGCTTTCTCTAGTTGTGGCAAGCAGGGGCCACTCTTCATCACAGTCTGCGGGCCTCTCACTGTCGCGGCCTCTCTTGTTGCGGAGCACAGGCTCCAGACGCGCAGGCTCAGTAGTTGTGGCTCACGGGCCTAGTTGCTCCGCGGCATGTGGGATCCTCCCATACCAGGGCTCGAACCCGTGTCCCCTGCATTAGCAGGCAGATTCTCAACCACTGTGCCACCAGGGAAGCCCAAGGTTATTGTATTACTTGCTTTTTTTGTTTGTTTCTTCCTACCTCCTCATCTGATTTTTTAAAAAATAATTTTAGACTGGTACCACTTGTGCTGGGTTAGATAAAATAATGGGGATTGAAATTGTACAGCTCTATCGTTACTATTCAGAAGGGTAAAAGATTAGATGGTACAGCTTTCATTGCATTGACATGAATTGTAGAGATGGATTTAAAGTAGAAGTGCTTTTTGTTTAGCCTAATCTTTGTATTCTGAGTATTAGTTTACTACAGGAACATCCCGCCCCGGGGTGGTGGAGGTGGGAGGAAGCAAAGCTGTAAGGAAACAAGACAGGGTGACTAGGGGAGGGCTATTGACAACCTGTCCTAGAGGATCCCAGTTTAGTCATTGAACTTCTCAGCAAGCCTAAGCTCAAAAGCCGCTCCCTGCTCCTTCTGGCATCAGCTGAGCCATTGGCATTATTGGCATTGCCCACAGTGGCATCGCAGACCATTGTGAGAGAAAGCCATCATCTGCTACGTGAACATTTTTAATGCGTAAATGCATGCATAGCTGTCAAAAGTTGAGTTATATAAGGGCTTCCCTGGTGGCGCAGTGGTTGAGAGTCCGCCTGCCGATGCCGGGGACATGGGTTCGTGCCCCAGTCCGGGAAGATCCCACATGCCGCAGAGCGGCTGGGCCCGTGAGCCATGGCCACTGAGCCTGCGCGTCCGGAGCCTGTGCTCCGCAACGGGAGAGGCAACAACAGTGGGAGGCCCGCGAAAAAAAAAAAAAAAAAAAAAAGTTGAGTTATATAGATTAATTCACATATTTACAAACAGATAAATAACAATTGGGGGGTTATTGACAGTAAAACGTGTTCTGATTGTACAGTTGTGAATTATTCCATTTAAAATGAGTGCAGCTAAGGAAACAAATTTGGTAATGCAGTAGAACCGCAGATTTTGTTTTTATTTTTACTTTAATTTTTATTGGAGCATAGTTGCTTTACAATGTTATGTTTCTTGCTGTACAGCAAAGTGAATCAGTCACACAAATACATATATCCACCCTTTTTTAGATTTCCTTTCCATTTATGTCACCACAGAGCATTGAGTAGAGTTCCCTGTGCCATACAGTAGGTAGGTACTCATTAGTTATTTATTTTATACATTGTAGTGTATATATGTCAGTCCCAGTCTTCCAATTCATCCCACCCTGCCCCTTCCCTCCTTGGTAACTATAAGTTTGTTCTCTACATCTGAGAACCACAGATTTTAAAAGAGCCTTTGTAAAAAACAGTAAAAGTAGTACATAATTAGGAATGAATAAAAATATTGAGGAGTGGGATTGGCCTTAAAAATATCAATGAATAAGACTTATAAGAAGTTTGTCATGTAAAGATAGACATGGATTGTTTTGATGAGTATTTTGATCAAAGACAGTTTAAGGTGACAAGAAGGAAAGCAAAGCTAGGAACATTAAAAGAAAACTAAAGCCTCAGGTGAATGAGAAGATAACGGTAACTTGGCTAGGGGTGTGGAGACCTATGATCAGGAACTGTAAATGTCTTGATTGATTTTCAAAGTCAGGTGTGCGAACTTTGGAGCCTGTTCTCCATCCCTAGCAAAAATCCAGGAGCAAACAAATAAAAAATAAGATCTTTCAATAAGGAGATTTGACAGAGTATCTCTTGATAACATAGTGGTCAGTATGGAATATAGATTGGATTATAAGCATTAAAAGGCTTTGACTAATGGACTGATTTTCAGAGGTCTCCATATGTGTGCTGCCCGATTCTCTTCTTGCTCTACTTTTTAAAAAGATTTAGTGGTAAGTAGTTATGTGTGTGCTCTGTACTAAGCACCATTCCAGGCTTTTTGTAGGAAGTAACCCTAACCGTCCCTACAACCCTGTGAGGTGGGTATTAAGGAAGGACATAGAATGCTTAAAAGACAGATTACAAAGGCTAATGATTTAAAATTATCCCTCTAAATTGGAATTCCAGGTTAACTAAGAAATTTAAAAGCATTAGATTAGTTTTTTCTTTAGTAACAGATGATCAGTTATACAAGTACTAAAAGGAGAAAATATGATTTTACTAATTTATTAAGGAGTAATAGAGTTTTGTTGTTGTTGTTGTTTTTAGTTATATAAAGTTACTCAAACTTTAGTCTACAGAATCAAGAAACATAATCACTCAGTGCTTTGTATATATTGGTCAGGGTACAGTAAGAATAGTAGTGAAATGTACTTCAGTGAATAATAATTTGAAACATATCCAGAAGACAGCAGTTAGTCTGAAAAACAGTTGCATTCTGAAAACTGAAAGGAGCAAAGGAAGTTAAGGGGAAGTATGTTTAGATTAAGAAAACAGTCATTTTCTAAAACTGTCATACAGTGAAATAGGTTGCCTTTTCTAAACTAATTCCTTTTCAGTGGGAGCCAAGCAGACTAGGTTAGGAAAAAGGGGGGGGGGAAACAGCTCAGAGATGTTGCAAGAAGAAATTACAGAGCACAGAATTTTGATTTTTTTTCCCCACCTCCCAAGGGAATTTGGAAATCACTTAGGCCATCATTTTACATCTGCAGAAACAATCCCAGAGAAGTTTTAAAAAGTATGAGAAGCAAGACTAAAAGCCAGTCTTTTGATTCTAGTTCTGTGTTCTTTAGGGAACTTTAGTTGATTTCTTGAATTAGAAGTGAAGTTTAAATTTGACCTGTGATTCTTTTCCATTTCTCCTTTTAAAAAAAAAATTATTGTTAATGATTTTTAAAAAATTTTTTGGGCCACGTTTGGGTCTTCATTGCTGCGTGTGAGCTTTCTCTAGTTACAGCGAGCGGCAAGCAGGGGCTCCTCTTCATTGCAGTGCGCGGGCTTCTCGATGTGATGGCTTCTCATTGCGGAGCATGGGCTCTAGGCCCGAGAGCTCGGTAGTTGCGGCTCGCGGGCTTAGTTGCTCCGTGGCATGTGGGAATCTTCTCGGACTAGAGATCGAACCCGTGACCCCTGCATTGGCAGGCGGATTCTTAACCAGTGCGCCACCAGGGAAGTCCCGTTAATGACTTTCTGATTAAAAACAAATACATAGAAAAGAGTAGAAAGTCTAAACTTGGTGTTGGGGGTATTCGTCTGCTGTGTTCACTAGTATACATGTAGAACCTAGAACAGTGCTGATGCATTGTAGGCATTCGAGTTCTGGTTTAGCGTATAAAGCAATGGTTAAGAATGTGAGCCATGGAGTGAGTACTGAGTTCTGTTCCCATTTACCAGTTTTAGCTCTGTGCACTTAGAACACCATCTTAAGTGTTACATTGTCTGGGAGTATTGAAGTAGACTTTCCTGGTCTTTCCTTTTTAAAATACAGTTGAAATTATATTATAGAAATATTTTTGTCATTATATAAATGACTATGAAACTTTAGATTATTTCCGGGAATTTGTTATTAAAACATTTTAATGAACACATTTGTGCATAAAGCCTTGTCCACATTTCACATTTCCCCATGATAAGTTTCCTGCAGTGGAATTATTAAGGAAAGCACCTCCACATTTTGGTACATGTGGTTAAACTGTTATTTCAGAAAGGTTGCACCAGTTTGCCACCGTGAAAATATATTAGCATGTTGTTCTTAACCTACTTTCTCAATTTTTTAAATCTTTTATCTTCGATAGTCTGATAAATGAATAATTTGTTTTATCTAAATTTTTGCTTGCTAGAATTGAAGTTCATATGTTTTGTGTTTAATGAATGATCTTTTAAGACTTATTTGTCTTAATGTCTTTCCATAATTCAGCAAATGAGTGCTTACTATGTGCCAAGCACTGTCTAACACTAGGGATTTATCTTTGAACAAAAAGCCCCTGCTCTCATAGAGCTTATATTCTGGTAGTTTAATTCTTACTGATTTGCTTAAATTCTTTAATGATACACTCATATATTTACATTTGCGTTTGTTCTCTTTAGGTTTGAGTATAAAAGCTTATACTTTTTATGTAATCAAGTATTGATCCTTTCCCTTGGCGTGTTTTTCTATTGACTTTAAACCTAGAAAGTCCCCCCTTCCAAAAACTTTATAAATGCATACATTTTTATTTAATATTTGTTAAGGCATTTAACACAGTTCATCTAGAATATATTTTTTGTATATTGTGAGATGAGCAACTAAATTGATTTTCCCCCTATTTAAAAAAAAGCCAAGTAACATTTACATACTGATCCACCACCACCCCCCTTTTTTGATGTTGTCTTTATGTTAATTTTTTATAAACAAGCATGTGTTGTTGAGCTGTCTACTTTTTCCATTGGATTTCTCTTTTTATGTAATTGTTTGGTGGTTTTGTTTGTTTTGTTTTTTAAGGAACATCACTTTTGTTTAATGGTGCTTCTTTAAAGTTTTGATGGTGCTGGTTTTAAAAAAAATTTAGGTGAACTATTAGGAATTCTTTTAAGGGTTAACATACTGTCTTATCTAAAGTTGCTTGAGTGATATATGGGTTTCCCTTTTTAAAAAGTAGCCCTCAAATTAGATAAAGGCTAGAGAAAAATACTTAAGTCAGGAAAGGTGCTAGGAGAAAGGAGAGGTTCTGGTTCAATTCTGTTTTGATGTGCACATCTAAAGGTGAGATGAGATGAGCAATATAGCCTAAATTCCAGTACGCTTGTTGGGGAATAGTTTAGTCTTAGAAATGATAGCTCTGATCCCTTCTCATTCTGGTTCATTTTCCCTTAGGGTGAGAAAAACGTGAGTCTTACCTCTTACCTTCAGCTAGGACTACTAGGACTGGAGACTTGAGAATGTGGTTTTTGCAGCTTCCTGGCCTATGTGTTACAGATCGTATCATTCATTGCGTTCTTACTTGTATGGCGGTAAGAACTAGTCTAAACATGAAAAAAGCACAGCTTGAAAGTCATGGTCTAAGTCAGTGATGGTGGAATAGTGGTCTTCAAATTAATTTGATAATACTGTTTAACAAGAAGAGCATGTATGTCAAGAGCATGTATGTACGTGTATATATTTATAAATCGTGTGATTATACTGCTCCATTTGCATTGTGAAGCAGTGGTACAAATAGGACAAAGGTGAAATAAGCAATATTGTGAAAATAGTGTACCTGTTAACAGTGTAGAAACTTTTCAACCCCACTAGAAATATATATATCTGGATGCTTAGTTTATAAGTGTTTAATTTAAAAACTTTATACTATCATGAATTAATATCTGAGGGACAGTATGCATTTTATGTTTTATTGGTACTGGTATAAGTCTGTATCATAGTCTTGATCTTAATGTTTTGTCAGACTTGTCAGATCTCATTAGATGGTCATTTATTTCATAATGTGGAGGTACAAGAACTAATACTAGGATTAGAAGTGCTGGCTTCCAATTCTCTGCCTTTGCTTGCTTTATTAGCATTATCTTCTAAGATTCTTCTGTGGGAATCTTTTTCAACAGTTTGTCTATTTGTGAGGGCAGTTTAGTTAAACTAGATAGCTAAATATGTACACTTAATTGGAGAGATGTAAACTTTAATATGC